GAGTGGAGGCACCCCCCCCCCCCCCAACTCTTTTTTTTTTCCCCCCTCAAAGTATCATTAAAGGCATGGCAGGAAAGTAAAAGGGAGAGAACCAGAAATAAAGATAGAGGTCAGCAGGGAGCGATCCCACCACCTCTGGCCCCCAGCTCTGCTACAAGGATCATCTCCAATTCAAAGTCATCTTGGATTCAGGTAAAGACGGTAATAAATAATAATGGATTCTTCATGTTTATGTAATTCTGCACCATCTTTTGTGGTGTTATAATTTCAGGTGCAATTTACAAGAGTCTACACAGAGTCTAAGTCCATATCATTGGTTGTAGTGAAGGCATGTCCATGATCAATATTTATTTAAAAAAACAGGCTTGTTTCCATGAGCACATCAGTTCAATACTGTACATCTTTGGAAAGATAGAAACTAAAATTTAGTTACAGTGTTGGAATCCACAAGTCATTCTATTGCTTGATTTCCTTTATGCTCACAAACAAAAACTTAACAGATGTTGCTTCAACAAATTTCTTGCATACAAAGTCTTAGTTTAAGGAGAGACCAATACTAAATTTAAAAGGTGAATAGTAAACATCAAGTGCACCAGCCTGACACACTAGGTCCAATAAACTGAGCCATGTGCATCAGGTTCAATGTGCAGCTCCCTGGTATAATTTCAGAAATATGCCTATAAGTTCAAACTTCTTGAATCTCACTCCTGTTGAAATACTTGAGAAAAAGAACTATGACATTCAAAGATGGAAAAATTAATCTTTAATTAAAAAAAAAAAAAAGTCAACTAGTAAGATACAAAAATGGTTTGCAATTGTAATGGTCAGAATTCACCCTTGGTGTACTGTCACTGACTTCAATGAACTTACAGCAAGAATGAATTTAGCCCAATATAGTAACTGAACATTTAGTCAGCTTCAGGATTTACATATGGCATGCTAATCCTGTAACTAGGCATGGTTGGGGGGGGGGGGAGGCGGGGTTGGTAGCCAGCTAGCAACAGTAGTAAATGAGTGAAGCTTCAATTTGTAAAACTGCACTCTTCTTATTTTCTCTGAAGGCAAAGCCATTTCCTTGGCACTTCATAGGAATATCTTTCCACCAGCTGGTCATCATATGGAATATGCCATGTGTCACCTGTAGTCTGTACCACCGTATTGAAATTAAGTATAGGCTGTTGGGTAAAGAAACGGGAAAAAGAAACATTATACCAACTTTGAGCTATATAAAGTAAAATGATTACACTTGACTGCTAATAAATATTTCCTTCCTTTCTCAGAAGTCTAAGTGGAAAGCTACTCATGGGTTTTGCAAAACGGCAAACTCGAAGTGGAACATGTTAAAGTAGATATGAAGTGTTGCTGGCAGGCAGCTTCCTTATTTTTGTTCTTGAATCTTGTGCCCACAAATCCAGGACCTCCTGTATAAAGCACACAATACAAGTAAACAAAATGTAACTGGGCCCCACTATTCTTTTTTTTAATTCAGTTCTACTGAACTCAGGAAGCACTACACTAAAAATTCCTTTGACTGGAAGGTTTCTATTATTTACTTTTATCTTTCTCAGTAAGTCATAGTAAACTATGACTCTAGCTTCCCCCTGTTTTTCTTCTTCTTTGTATAGACTCTGACTTCTGTACTTTTAAATATTTCATCTAAGCACACATTCATTCATCTCTCTCTTGGATGCAAATATACCTTAAATTCTAGCGTGGAAAAGCTGAAACACTGTTAGTAATCTGAAGTCTTGGAGTGGTTAAAATTTGGTTTCCAATCTCCCACGAGAGAACAACAACATACATTTTTCTTTGATATTTCTGGAAACTAAAAAGAAAGTGTTTATGTCTGCCTTGCAAAATAAGACTACTAGAATTAGGGCGCACCTGCTGAAATTTAGTAGGTGACAGGTTTAAACCTATGAGAGTGTTTTTTTTTTTTTTTTTTTT